TCTTTCTCCTCTCTCAGTTTCTGGTCTCTTTCTTCCTCCTCTTTCCTCTTCTTCTCTTGCTCCTCCTCTTTCCTCTTCTTCTCTTGCTCCTCCTCTCTCTCCTTCTTTTCTCTCTCATTCTCTTCCATCCTTTTCTTTTGTCTCTCTTTCTCCTCTCTTTCCTCTCTTTCTTTCTCCTCTCTCTCTTTCATCTCTCTCTCTTTCTGCTGTCTCTCTTTCTCCTCTCTCTGTTTCTGCTCTCTTTCTTCCTCCTCTTTCCTCTTCTTCTCTTGCTCCTCCTCTTTCCTCTTCTTCTCTTGCTCCTCCTCTCTCTCCTTCTTTTCTCTCTCATTCTCTTCCCTCCTTTTCTTTTGTCTCACTTTCTCCTCCCTTTCCTCTCTTTCTTTCTCCTCTCTCTTTCTTTTCTCTCTTTCCTGTCTTTCTTTTCTCTCTTTTTCCTTTGCTTCTTTTTGCACCCTCTCATTCTCCTCTCTCTCTCTCATTTCTCTCTCTTTCTCCTCTCTATCTGTATCCTGTCTTTCTTTCGACTGTCTCCCTAACTCTTCATCTGTTTGATTCAAAAATGCAACAACATCTTCAGGAACTAGTTCTTCATCTGTCTCTATGTCTTTCTCTTTCTGCTTCTCTGTGACTTTCACTTTTTCTTTTTCAAGTGCCTGTCTCTCTTTCTTCTGCTTCTGTTTCTCAGCTATAAAGAGAGAGATAGGTTGGTTCTCTATGATCTCTGGCTCAACATCATGATCAGTTGCAAACTGCCTTGAAACATTCAAAATGTCCTCCCAACATCTGTCACTTTCTTGGGACTGGGAGGACAACCCCAATCCCAATGAAAAACTGGGAACATCATCACCTTGTATCTTCCCAATAGCTGCAATTGTTTCTGGATCATTCCAGAAAGCAGCTGTTTCTTCACTATCCTCAAAAGAACCTGTCTTCTGAGAAGATTGAGGTACATCGGGACTAACAGAAATAAGATTTTCCGTTGCTTGTTGTATCTTCTTGTAATTTAAATCATCGGTCACTTCGTGGGGAGCATCTTCAAGCAAGTTTATGACATCAACAACATCAGTGGCCAAGCACATAACCTTGCTTAGAAGCTTGGATTTATAACCCTGTTTATACATAAAATTAAACAGAGTGAACAATTATAAGAAAATATGGAGGAAAATTAAACAACTAACCTAGCAACAAAAAACATTTAACCTAGCAGCTAGAGATAACTAACCTAGCAATAAAAAAGAACTAACCTAGCAACATCCAACAGCTAACCAAGCAACAATAAACAAATAAACTAGCAACAAAAAACATTTAACCTAGCAGCTAGAGATAACTAACCTGGCAACAAGAAAGAAGTAACCTAGCAAAATCAGACAACTAACCTAGCAACAATATACAACTAACCTAGCAGCAAAAAACAACTAAACTAGCACCTACAGACAACTAACCTAGCAACAATAAACAACTAAACTAGCACCTAAAGATATACCTAAAATAATTGCAATACAGACAAATAAAAAAAATACCAACCTGAACACAATCATCGGACACTTCCTTTTGTTTTGATTTTATTGACAGTAATGGCTCCAAACGTTTATCAACAAAACCTCGGCCAAAACCACCAATTTTGGCCTCAGCATTGGATCTCTTGCGCAACAGGTCACAGTTCCCACCAATAAAGGAGGGCAGACTCCTTGGAACTTCACGATTTACGAAAGCAAGCCGATCAACGTATAAAACCTGCATTTTGGGAGAAAAAAAAAAATATATATATATATATAAGAAAATGGAATACAAATTGTTTAAGAATAATATAAAAATACATTCTTACAACGAGAAAAAGAAGAGGCCCATTAAAAGCAGTCTTGTTGGTCTTTTCCCATTTCATTCTTTTTGAAATCAGACTTTGAAGAGTGTAATCACACCAATTCAAGTCAGATACATGTGTTATGTCATTAATGGACTTGAAGGAGAGTGGGTTCACATAACCAGCAGATATTGATCCAATTATCAGAGCATCCACCAAAGCAGCAAAATGACAACAGAACATTTCACCACCATCATGACACTCCAACATTTCCTTGCTCACATTTTCAGCAGTGATTTTGTCAGCAGATTGTGTAAACTTACTCCTCCACTTATCCAACAGCTCACAAGACTCAGATTTCCTCTTCAATTCAATAGTCTTATCCCCTCTTGGAAATCCTAATACCTTCTCCACATCAACAGATTCAATGTGGATTTTTCCCTCACTGCAACGCAATACAGAGCTAATTGCGTCAAAATTATCCAACACCCAGAAAGATAAATTTGTTGGAATCTCTTTAATCTTAAGATGCAGCAAATTTCCAAAACCCATTTTCTGTACAGCTCTTTTCTGATCATCATTTAATTTGGCAATGGACTCAACCAACAATTTTGGAGAAGACCGTGTTGAGAGCCTTGGGAAATGAATTTTAGCATCAGGCTGCCGTTGACGAGCTTCACGTACAGGCTTGTGAGATGAATCAGTCAGCAAAAGAATATCATCATCCCTCTGAGACTCCATTTGTTCAAATTAAACTGAGTTACAAAAAAGCAAAAAAAAAACAAAAAATGTCAAATAGATATAACAAACCTTGCATCACACAGAAAAGTAAACTTGCAACTAACCAAGCAACATCAGACAACTAACCTAGCAGCATCAGAAAACTAACATAGCAGCAGAAGACAACTAAACTAGCAACATCAGACAACTAACATAGCAGCTACAGGTAAATAACATAGCAACATCATAAAACTAACATAGCAGCAGAAAGAAACTAACCTAGCAACATCAGACAACTAACCTAGCAGCAAAAGACAACTAACATAGCAGCAAAAGACAACTAACATAGCAGCAAAAGACAACTAACATAGCAACATCAGACAACTAACATAGCAACATCAGACAACTAACATAGCAGCAGAAGAAAACTAACATAGCAGCAGAAGAAAACTAACCTAGCAACATAAGACAACTAACATAGCAGCTACAGGTAACTAACATAGCAACATCAGAAAACTAACATAGCAGCAGAAAGAAACTAACCTAGCAGCAAAAGACAACTAACATAGCAACATCAGACAACTAACATAGCAGCAGAAGAAAACTAACCTAGCAGCAGAAGACAACTGACATAGCAGTAGAAGACAACTAACCTAGCAACATCAGACAACTAACATAGCAGCTACAGGTAACTAACATAGCAACAACAGAAAACTAACATAGCAGGAGAAAGAAACTAACGTAGCAGCAAAAGACAACTAACATAGCAGCAAAAGGCAACTAACATAGCAGCAGAAGAAAACTAACCTAGCAGCAGAAGACAACTAACATAGCAGCAGAAGAAAACTAACCTAGCAACATCAGACAACTAACCTAGCAGCAGAAGACAACTGACATAGCAGTAGAAGACAACTAACCTAGCAGCTACAGGTAAATAACATAGCAACATCAGAAAACTAACATAGCAGCAGAAAGAAACTAACCTAGCAGCAGAAGACAACTAACATAGCAGCAGAAGAGAACTAACCTAGCAACATTAGACAACTAACCTAGCAACATCAGACAACTAACATAGCTGCATAAGACAACTAACCTAGCAACATCACACAACTAACATAGCAACATCAGACAACTAACCTAGCAGCAGAGGACAACTAACCTAGCAACATCAGACAACTAACATAGCAGCTACAGGTAACTAACTTAGCAACATCAGAAATCTAAAATAGCAGCAGAAGAAAACTAACCTAGCAACATCAGACAACTAACCTAGCAGCATCACACAACTAACCGAGCAACATCAGACAACTAACATAGCAGCAGAGGACAACTAACCTAGCAACATCAGACAATTAACATAGCAGCATCAGACAACTAACCTAGCAGCAAAAGACAACTAACCTAGATGCAAAAAGACAACTAAGCTAGCAACATCAGACAACCAACATATCAGCTACAGGTAACTAACGTAGCACCATCAGACAACTAACCTAGCAGCAAATATAACTAACCTAGCAACATCATACACTAACCTAGCAGTATCAGACAGCTAACTTAGCAAAAAATAAACAAAACATATTACGTTAATCTATTAAATGAAAGAATGAAAAACCTAAATCGAAAAAGTTATTACAAACAAAAACAACAACAAAAATACTCACCAATTTAAGACGAGAATCAGCGAAATCACAGAGAATCTGCGAGAATAGACTACGAAGGATAAAACGGAAACAGAAAGTAACGCCCGAGAAATCGAAATCGAAATCGAAAATGGAAGAGAATGGAACAGAAACAACGAGCAAGTGCGAAAATGGAGAGGGAAAGTAGAGTAGAGAGTTCTGAAGACGTACCGCCCGCGAAATCAGAAATATTGATTAATGTACTAAATAAATTCTGAACGTTAGATTAGATGATTGGTGAACGGATCAGATCAGGTCTCACGTCCTCACTTTTAAAAACGGGGCGCATCTGAACCATTCCCTATATATATATATATATATATAACCTGACTAACTTAGCCTAAGTGCCTGATCTTTATATAAATGATATTTAACAATACCAACCCTAATAAAACCTGAGTACTGTGACTGAGATATATAAGTTATTATAAGTTATAATGTTATATAGTGAGTTATATTATTATTTTTATTCCTTATCGATTCTGTTGGATTTGGTTTTACCGAACTCTTATGAGATCGTAATCAATACCGAACAGATATCAGTTCGGTAATCGAATATTGGTTACCGTTACAAACGGTTCAATTTGGTTCGGTTACTTTTTCACCAGTTGGTTCGGTTACAAAAAAAAAAAATATCAGCCATAGTTAGGGATATAGGGGGAATTGGATATTCGGAAATTTATGTAAAGAATAAATTGTCTTTCATACTTTGTCAAGAAAAAACAAATGAATAAATGAACCACGAAAACTACAGTGTAAAGAGTATCTAGACACCCTGCCCTATATATTATACATAGAAGAAAATTCAATTAGACGAGTGTGGAACATTTGGAAGTGGTGGGATCGTATATGGCAGGGAGCAAGTACTTGCGGCCGTTGGTGCCATGGGCATTGTAGCTTGCTCCTGTGGTTGGGTCCACCAATAGGTCCCCCGCATAGCCCGGGTAGGCCCCTTTCCCGTAAACTCCAGGGCAGGCAGTTGCGGCTTCCAGCGGGGCCTCGGCGGAGCCCTGATAGTAGCCATTCCCGAAGGGATTGGTGGCGGTGCCCGCGAGAAGCCCACTCAAGCTCATGACTATAGCGTCGAGGCCCACGTCGTTGTTGGGCGGCACCAATGGTGGGCTCTGTGGGCCGTAATTGGGCTGGTGGAAAGGCCAGCCGCAGTACCCGGGGCACTGGGTCTCCGAGTTGCCCACCCATATGTAGGCGAACTTGGAATAACTCTTGGGGCCGGAGACTCTGCTGGAACCGTGGGTCCCGCAGCGGTTGAGGCAGAAGCCGTTGACGGTGACGTCGCTCGCCGTTAGAACGACATTGACGGCGTTAGAGTGGTCACCCCTGGATGCCAGCTGGACGATGTGTTTGTCGGAGAGGGACTTACCGAGGGAGTAGTCTTCGTCAAGGATCTGCCGGCCGAGGCGGAGGGAGAGAGAGTTGGGTCTTCCGGCGAGGTGGTAGTACTTCTCCACCGTCTTCCACCACGCGCCGACGGACTGCTGGTTTCCGGCCGGAGCCGAGACGGAGGTTATGAAATCGGCCACGATGGCCCGCTGTGAGGGGGTGAATTTTCCGTACCAGATGAGATTGACGGCGATTTTGCCGCGGAGGAGGGCGCCCTTGTGGTAGCGGAGGAGCTGCTGCTGTGGATCTCCGGCACCACTTGTGATTGTTCTGGAAGCGGAGGAGGAGAGGCTCAATAGGAAAGTTAAAGCTATTAATTTCACGAACAAACAAGATGAAGAAGCCATATTTTAATTTGAAGATGGGAGAAAATGGAAGAAGATGAGATTGTGTGTGTTAATTTGGTTGTGAGTGGTGGGTTTAGGGCATAGGATGGTATTTATATTGCTTTTGATAGCTGGTTAAGTAATTTGGTCAAAATTTGAGACGCGGTTTTGCTGGCAGTGGAGGGCCAGAAAAAAAATAATATTAATAATAAATAAACAGCGTCTTTGTAATTACAGCTTTTGATGGTTTTGAGTTTTGACAAATGAATTCACAGGCTCACTCACAGCTGAAAAGCGTGCTGGGCACTTCGGTGCCATAAAGGTAGTCTGATGTATTTCCTGAAATGCCCTTCATTTGTTTTATGTATTAGAGCATCCTCTCATAGTCTCATTTGTCAAGGGACATTGAACTCGGCAATGATTCTACAATTCTACCCAGCAAATCTTAATTTTATCCATGTCATCAGTACTGTTATATGGCAGTATTGAATTTAAATTCTCCCTCTGTTATTTACTTATTTATGATAATATAGCTAGATGAATAAATTTAATTGTATTCGTATTATAGCAGACTACTTATAAATATGGTCTGACAATTTCTTATTGGTTCTAGTAGTTCTTGTATTTTTTAGTTAAGCAATTTATTTCTTTTTATGAGTCAATTTTAACATAATATGAATATGAATTTCCAAAACGTTGTCGTTGGTCTTATCTACTTATATCGAACAAGAAAAAAGAACCCAATATTATAAATATGCTTACATTGTGTTCTCTTTAGAAGTTTATTTTTTATTTTTTATTTTTTTTTTGGCATCAGCATCATTATGTTCTCTTTAGAAGTTATTAATGTTTCATTTCCTAGTGATTTTTAAGGTCACTGATGAATTAAAACCACCAGAAGCAAGGATTTTGATATGTTAATTTGTAACTTTGCACTCATCAATTACTAGTATGACAATGTAGTACCGCAATGGGGCAATTTAGGTAAAAGGATGGTGAAGAATAAATAAAGAAAGAGTTTTAGGGAGCTTTTTAGGACAGGCTGGATACTGTGGGGGCACCAACTCATTTTATTGGAAACTGCGTTAATAGCTGTCCCAGTTGGCACTCATACAAAAACTCACCTTCACTTGCCACTAACTGTGACACACAAACAGATGGAAGGATCCTATGAGTGAGTTGCAACTTTAAGAGGAAAATCACCTAGTATGCCCATAGCCTATATAATTTTCATTGTCCTTTTTATTTTGTTTTTTCAGAAAATTATAATATAATATCATATCATCATACAATATATAATGCATAATCTTGAGGTCAAACTTCATGCTGTATTTTTTAAGTGGGACAAATCGAACTCGTATCTAATTCTCAAGTATGGATAATGCAATATTGTGCTCGTGTACGGGTACACAACTATTGCAAATTGCATTTGTTTAACCCAAAACGAAAATAGTATTCACGGAAATTCATTCCATAAAGTTTACTTTACAAAAATGCTCCCTTTTATCTAAACATTGTGGTAGTGCAAACGATTTGGATCGCATATATTGAACATCATTTGATTCGCTCTCAACCAGTAGAATAACTTGTTCAACAACATTAGAGTTGTCCCGGCATTGAGATTCTAACGCTCAAGTCAGTGTTTGAGGAAGGAGATTATGTATATAGTGTATGTAAATATAGAATTCTACAAGTGTGTAGAGTTATAATATATATTAATACCTCATCCTTTTACTTTGTTGCTCAAACTCTGTCTGATTTAGCTGCTCGAGTGCCTGAGCTACATAATTGTACTGCCCAGGTGCACGAAATGTCCAATTCTGTTAGTCACGTGGTCATATTCACGTGCCATCTTTATCCTAATGATATATGTGCTTATCTATATCTGGCGTGTTCACATTAGCTTGCCTCCTTAAATAGCTGCTTTGGCCTCGTTTACTAGAGATGATGGGATTCGTCCAATTGATCCTTCCAATTTGCCACATCATATTTTGGATACAAATTGTCACATGTTTACCAAAGTGGATAAAAGTCTATGATAAATAAATTAAATTAGCGATTTAACTAATTAAATTAATATTTTTATAAATTAAATAGCATTATTTTAAATTAAAGAAAATAATATTAAGCAATATTTTTTAGATTAAATAAAATTAATTAAATTAATATTTTATAGGTTAAATAATATTATTTTAAGTTAAATAATATTAGTTTAAATTATAAATAATTATTTAAATTAATATTTTATAAATTAAATAATGTTATTTTATATTAAATTATATTATTTTATATAAAATAATATTTTTAAATTAAAAATTATTTAAATTAATATTTTATAGATTAAATAATATTATTATAAATTAAATAAAATATTTTAGAATAAATAATATTATTTTGAATTAAATAAAATATTTTAAATTAAATAAAATTATTTTATAAATTAGATAATATTATTTTAAATTAAATCATATTAAACATATTTTTTAAATTAAATAAAATTTGAACGCGACCGATTAACAACACTCCATTCTAGTCTCAAGATTTTGAACATTACAACCATACTGCCGATAGCGCTCTTTTCATTTTTCGTCCCATAATCCCGTAACAGTCGGATGATCCACAAGAAAGGCGACAGGAATCAAACCTAGCTTGGGTAGCCTATTGTCACGCCCTTATTTTTCAGACAAGGGACGTGCGGCCTTGGCCACTCGTGCGACCCTTCGCAACTAGCCAAGTCAGTCTGATTGACACCAAATTTTATCCCGCGTACACATGCCACAGTATCCCCTCAAGACGCTGGTTGTTTCCGCCCTGCCATGGGCTCATCAGGAGAGCGGCTTCAGCCCCCAAAAAACTAGGTCCGATGGGTTTGTCTCGCCCTCCATCAATGTTAGGTCCAAGACCTGCGACAAGATCCCCGAAGTTAACCGGGTCATCCTGCCTAATTAAATTAATACTTTAAAGATTAAATAATATCATTTTAAATTAAATTAAATTATTTTAGGTTATATAATATTGTTTTAAATTAAATAAAAATTATTTAAATTAATATTTTATAAATTAAAAAAATTATTTNTAAAATTATTTACTAAATTAAATAATATTATTTTAAATTAAATTAAATTATTTTATATTAAACAATATTTTTTAAATTAAATAAAATTAATTAAATTAATACTTTAAATATTAAATAATATCATTTTAAATTAAATAAAATTATTTAAATTAAAATTTTATAAATATCCGCCCAAAATTGGAACTCAAACTTGGGGATAAAAATATCCGCCCAAAATGGACAGACAAAACAATCCCTCCATATCAGATTAATGAAGGGAGACCCACATGCCACATCAGAATGGTCCTTTCTCTTAACCAACCTAGTAAACATACCTTATCATATCTTATCAACCCTAGTAAACGAGGCCTTTGAGTATCTCATATCATTTAGTCTCTCACACTCTAGTTGAGTAGATATAACTTGATCAAAGAGTAAAACTAGATACCTTTAACTATACTCTCAATCGTGAAATGTTCTCCCAATCGAGCGATTTTTTCATTCTCTCTAGGTGCGGCAAGGTCTTGTTTTTCAAAATTCAAATTCAAATTTCTGACATCTTTTCAAATCCATCTGACATCCTTTCATATCGACATAACCACCTCGACTCCCGTGATAAGTTCATTGATCTGTCTATGTGTGTATGTGAAGAAGCTTGGAGAAAAATCTTTTCCCTCCAAAGCTCTATTAATTATACCATGAAATAAATTCTATCAACTTTTATGTATGATCTATCATTAAAATACTAATTATAATTATCTCCTAAAAATAAAAAATAATTTATATATAATTATGTATTGGGAACTTGCACTCCAGTTCCCATAAAAAATAAATTTTGAAATTATTTTATTAATTATATGTAAATAATTCAAACAACAAAATTTAATTATTTATTATAAATACTTATCCAAATAATTACTTCGTGTGAATATGTATTCTAATTTTTCAATAATTTTTTTTTTAGTTTTTTTTCCTTTGTGAGTAAAATAACTATTTACATACAAGACAATTTATTTTTTTAATAGTGCCGCAAAATGTGCACTGCATATGTCATAATATTAGGCGCGCACACGTGCTCACACGCACATACACACACATATATAAGTTAAGTAACATGTAGGAGATAAAAAAAACCCTCCAAAACTATATATACTATCTAGAAATAAATTCTATCAATTTCTAACTATGATATATCATTAAAATAATGAATATAGTCATTTGCTTAAATAAATCATTAACATAATTATGTATTGGCACTTGCACTCCGATATTCATGGATTAAAATAAATTTGTTAAATCCTATGTGGATACATAGTTCAAACAATAAAAATAGTTATTTGTACAAAGGCTTAATTCAAAAAATAACACATTTATCAATATATATTAGTTTATGTATAAATACATTATGATATTATTATAATCTAATATGGATTAAAAATAATATATTTTAAAAAAAATTTAAAAAAAAAAACCAATGACCACTTGATAAAAATAACTATGCTTATTATTGGTGATATTTCTGAAATATCTAAATTTTGACACAATAAAATTCATCAATCTGGTTAATAACAAATTGCAAACTTATCAAATTTTATATATTTTTATTTTCTTTTCAGCTAAAATTTATTTTAATAATAAAAAATAGAAAGAGAGAGAGAGAGAGAGACAGACAGAAATAAAATAAAATCATATTTTTCATAAATAATGTAATTTATTCAACTAAAAGGGATAATTTTTTTTAAATAAAAAAAAGTATCATCGATGGGTAATGAGATGAACTTGCATTTCCATATAAAATATATCTCGAAAATCGTGAATAACATTTACTTGGACAAAAAAAAATCTGAATTTAGGTTCCTTTTATCAATATCAACCAAGAATATGAGAAAAAATGAAACTAAAGAAAAAAAAATAAGAC